AGTGCAGCGCCTACTCCAGCCCTTAAACTAATGTTACTTGACCAGTGGTAGATTTTTCTTACGATCAGACGAGACCAGACGACGGCGCTTGCAGTTGCTGCAGTGTTTTGAAAAGAAATTCATCGCGATCGTGCATCCTCCACATACACTCAGAAATGCTCGTGCAGCACTTCTTTTCATCGCATGTACGCGACCGACGCTTCCATGACAACCCTGGGACAGGTGACCAATCAGATTGGCAGACCTTTGGCTTTGATCAAGAGTATGGGGGGGGGGGGGGTTATACTCTTGCTTTGACATTGTGCATGCTCTGGACCTGTTGCCTTGTTTGTTGTTGGAAAAAAAGAGTACCGGTACATGTACAGTACAGTACATGCAATTGTTAGATTGACAGCATGAAACAAGGAGGAGGACACTGTGTTTGAAAACAGTGACCTTACTACAACCAGGGTTCAACCTTCGTTTCATGCTGTCAATCTAACAATTGCGTGAACTACAACAAGGTTTATCTAATACTGGTTTACCAGTTTTGGATTATATCAGTACAGTACATGTATTAGATAATCCAATCCTAGTTCAGAACTACATTGTTAGATCAACCTTGTTATTTAACGCATATTGTTAGATTGACAAAGTGGAGGACACTGTGTTCGGAAACAGTGACCTTACTACAACCTTCCGCGGTTGGCAGAGCCCCGGTAAGAATACACGACGGACGTCAGGAGTAGTCTTCTACCAGTACCACCCTAGCATAATGAGGGTCAGAACCGGGTGCGACACCCATATGCCGATATGGTTCAAATGGTCCGCAGGGACCGGGGCTCTGCCATGCCAACCGCGGTAGGTTGTAGTAAGGTCACTGTTTCCGAACACAGACTCAGTGTCCTCCACCTTGTTTCATGCTATGCTCTGCACAACGAAAATTCGAACGAACAGGCCTTGCGAAAATAGTGAGGTTTTGCATTCCGAAATTCGGCAAAAAGATTCGGCACGCGGGAGCGAGGTCGAAAATGCACACGAAGATTCGGCATGTTTGTTCGGAAAAAGCTCACTTTGCCGAAAATATTTTTCGGATGAATTTTCTTGTAGAAGAGCGCTAGCGCGTAATTTATTCGAAGAGGTTTCTTATATCGGCATCGCTTCGCAGGCGTCTTGGGCGCATCAGCATCGCAAGCTACTTCTGATTGCTCCTCTCCACTGCCTGTCTACTCTCTATCGCCTGGAGTGCCGTTGGAATCAGCAAGAAAGGGAGCACGGGACAGGACGTTGCTGATGCTGGGGCTCACATGAAAACACATCATTTTCGACTTGGAAAACAAACGTTGGAGCGAAAATTCGACATTTTGATGTTCGACAAATGACCGAAGAACGCCGAACCGAAATTCGGAATGCAAAACCTCACTAATAGAGAGGTTCTGCACAACGAAAGTTCGAACGAAGTTTCGCGACAGGCCTTGCGAAAGTGTGTACGAATTTTCGCACGAACTTTGTGTTCTGCACATTTTCGTAGTTTGCACGCGCCAAGTGCACATACGACATGACCCAATCTCACGAAACTTCCTACGAAAGTTCATTTCGCGTTCCCTGCAAGTTTCGCGTCCAAAGTTGCGAAAGTTCGTGCGAAGTAACGTTAGTTTCTCACTTCGTGACGTAGAGCGAAAGTTCGTACACATTTTCGTTTTGCAGAACCTCTCTATAGTGTACGAATTTTCGCACGAACTTTGTGTTCTGCACATTTTCGTAGTTTGCATGCGCCAAGTGCACGTAGATCTACGCCATGATCCGATGTCACGAAACTTCCTGGCCTACGAAAGTTCATTTCGCGTTCCCTGCCAGTTTCGCGTCCAAAGTACTAGTAACTAGTGAGAGTTGGTGCGAAGTTTCTCACTTTGTGACGTAGAGCGAAAGTTCGTACACATTTTCGTTTTGCAGAACCCTAGCCGCACGACCTTTTTACTTTTCAAAATTTTCGTATTTTTTGAATGGCTCACTACATGCACAGTGCGTACTATACGGCACGTGCGCCCAAAAAAACTGTTACGGATAATCGAATGGTCGGATAGTCGATGTGCGGATAATCGATGTTCAACTGTACATTGTACATACTGTGATGAAACGATTCGTATGCGAGAGGTGGAAAAAAATAAAAAATGACCGAAAAATAAAAAGAGTTTACTGTAGACCTTCGGTCATACTAAAATCGACCAAT